CTCTAGCTCAAGTGCCTACATGCTTTAAAAAAGGCAAACTACAGTAAGTTTATAGTTATCAATAAAATTTTCATCTGAAGATTCTCTAACAAGTTCCCTATTCATTTTGCCAAAATCTCAAGAAATAGCAGATGCTAACTTCTCAAATGATCGAGTTGTTTTTTACTTCTGCGGTTTTTTAAACCAGATGTAAATCGACACCAAAATGTACCCAAAAGGCAATACATAAATAGTGGGGTGCACTAATTGCACACGTAATTATTAATATCATTCTCACACGCATTAACGTCGATCAATACACAATTTTTTTTAACATGTAATAGGCTAAATGAACATCTATCTACTAATTTGTTCCTTACATGCATTAAGATCAAGACTTAGAGACTGTTTATTAAACACTTACTGGATAAACATTTACCAGATGATTACCTTATTGGAGGAGCAAAGGCAAGAATTGAATATCTTACCCAGTAAGAGGCATGTCAACAACCAATGTTTTTTTTTTACCGAGGTTCTTACCCTGATAAGTGAGGGAGAAAACTCTTACCCATCACAAACATTCTATTTTTATGGCCAATAATGTCATGTGACAAGGTAAACAAGGATGGTGAATATTGCCAGTAAGGGTTTGCCTGGTAAAAATTTGGTAAATAGTCATTTACCTTTTATATTTTCGATGCAAGATATGACTTGATTTTGATATTTAGACATACATATAGCCTATAGGTGTGCATATAAGAACATTTTTAATATATAACTTATTCTGCTTCTATAAATAGATGTACGGATTTTGGATCAGTCTGTTTTCGTGAGACCACCTTCTTATACTTGAAATTTCTCAGTAAAACACTATGAAAGTTCAAATTTTTTTTTACCTTAACAATATTTTGCTATGAAATTTCAAATGTAAAATATAGTCTCACAGGTCTCACAAAAACATATTGGTGTCATGTGAATCACACCCAGATGTACATATATGATATATATCAACACTCACTTATAATATATAATACAGAAATTTATATTACTCCTACAAGAGGTCTCTATTGGTTAGGTTAACATGCGAGAAGAACCCAATAGCATACATGATACCTTTAGAAAAAATAGTTACAGCCTGGCCCTATTAAAGAGCAATATTCTTTCCTTAACCATATAAATATTTGGTAAAATCTATAATTAAAGTCTAAAAAGGACACACACACACACACACATATATATATATATATATATAGATTCTTCTTCGTGACTCTTCTCTTTTTTCCATCAAATTATTAATAAAAAATTGGTTCTATTTATTTTACATTATTTTTTTATTGTATGATGTAAATGTATAAGTTTTTTGGTGTAAAATAATGCTTATAATCCATATATCATATTTGTAAAAATTAGAAAATTTTAGCATTTTTTCTAATGCATTTTACAATTTTAAGCAAAGTAAATGATTAAGTGGTCAGAATGATTAAGAGACTCTCATGAATCATGATATAGTACAAAATGAAATATAATTATTCGGCAATTGTTTACAATGAAATTATGGCACTCAAATGGTTAAGGAAAACTCATGATACGAAATTATTCAAAGGGTTTTTGAACCATTAAGAGACAGATTTTTTTTTGCCAAACAAGATTCATCTCTTAACGGTTCAAATGTTGTCTCTTAATGAAACTATTAAGAGGTAAACTAACAACCTCTAATAAGGAAGGAGGTTGAAAGAGGTGAAACTTGTATTTTCATATTTTTAGGGTTTCAAGAAAATCTGTAGTCTAAAAGATTCCATTTTTTTCGGATCAATTAAGTGAACATATATTAATAGAGACAAATAAACATGAATCACGTAAAGTTATATTAAAATAAAATAATGATGTTTCATTTGATTAAGTGGCGGACTTATGATTTTTGGCTCACAGGGTGCATCTTGTAAGGTGGATAAAATGTCTGTAAAGTCACGTTTTTACTCCAGAAAAAAGTTAATGTTGTTTGACCTGGGAAAAGTTAATTGTGTAAATTTGGGAATAAAATACATTTTCTCAAATCAAACCAACATTTTAAGCAAAACACAAGACTATGTCTTATGTCTGATGTATTTTTAACTGAATTTTACTGTTTACGGGATTTTTTTTTTGATTTTTTGGTTAATTTCGTAAGTTTCATAAGTTTTAGGATTTCATTTTGTAAGGTTTCTTGTTTGTGTTCGAGCCCACCAGCTTGCATTATTAAAAAGTTGGAAGCACCTTTTAAAGTTACGCAACTATGCCTTTTAAACCCTTAAAGATTTTTTTTATTTAATTGGTTGGGCCGGTGCACCGGACCCCTCTAATTAAGCCTTAATGGGTCCACCCTGATTTGATTGGTGAAAAAGGAAGTGACAGTAAATTTTGTGACAACAGGTTTTTGTTTTGGTTATGAACATAACAAAAAAAATCAATAACCATTCAAGTGCAAGTTGTGTTCTGGTGAGAATGAATTTTTATAATAAGAACAGCGAGAATACGAACCTTTATCTACTTTTATCCACATGAACCTGTATGCATTTCATAAACTGATCTACCTATTTCTATTAACATAATTGAAATTTTAACAAATTCATGAATGTAGAAGTGATTTTTTACAGGTAAAAGCTCAAGAAAGTGACTGAAAAGTGAAGTTAAGGCTGGTGAAATTATACAAAGGTGATGATCAAGATATAAAAGAGAAATGTGTTTTTTTATCATCAGATGAAGGCCCTCGTATTTCTTGGCAATAATATCAAAAGATTAACCGATCGAAATGCTCATAACTGTTATCACATTTTGAGGATGAAGAATTGTTCTCACACGATCTTAAGTCTCTATCTTTCAGTATTTAATCATATACATTCAGTATTTAATTACATATAGTACAATTTGTAAATGCATAACTTCATGGAATGCTCATATTTATTATTTTAATTATAAAAACACATAATTTTTTTTTTGGGTATTATATTAATTATTAAAAAAGCAAAAGCAGAAATTAAATCACCATCATCTTGGAACAAAAAATTGAAATTATTTAACCAAATAAAGTCAAAGTACATGTGTTTTTCTTTTGATGTTTTTATCATTTTTAATTATTGAATTTTCTTTTATCTCTAACAAAAATAATTCATGGATAAATATTATATCTGAAAAATTGGAATATTAATATTTTGAAATTTATGTAATTGAAATAATTTTTAATATGATAATGAGGAAAAGTTTTCAATGTATGTATTAAAAGCATGTTTATTTTGGAATTTCAGTTTTACACTAGCCGACAACTGAAGTTGTATAATTAAAGAGCTTTTGGTCTAGCGGTATGTGAGTCTTTGATCTTTTAAGAGGTCAGAAATTCAAACCTCACTAAAGATAAGGAGAATGTGTGAATATAGTTGTTATATTTTGTCATATATAAATATTATATGCTTAAAAAAAACTAAAGTTATACAAGGCACAACATAAGAGGGAACCTATGCCACATTGCAAATGGAATACTGAAGTAGATTGCATGGTATCAATATTAGCTATATGTCTATTCGACATCAAACCAGATAGTGAACCAGACTCGTATTTTGGGCCTGTTTTAGACTAGTGATTCAAGTTTAATTTGTTTACTTAAACGATATTTTTTATCAAGGTAAAAAAGAATTGGTTTGAACAGAATCGGTTTTGAACCAAATTGAGAATTGGTTTTCTTTTTGCCATAACTAGAACCGAGTATATTGATTCTGGGTTAGTTTACCAGTCTCCAGGTTCGTAGCATCTGAATCTGTACACTCATATTGCTACAAACTTATATTTATCCAAATTTGAAAACTTTTCGTTCATTTTTCACAATCTAACATCTTCAATAAATAAATCGATATACGATACTTCAGCCTTTTAACATACAAACCTTACAGTTCAGTCACAGTTGGTTATTTAATTGTAATCGTAATTGTTTTATATGACCTTGTCAATTTAAAACGCACTCCCAAACGCCATTAAATAATAAACTAGTGGTATAATCTCAAATTCAAAACATAAATAAGTGAATATATGTCTTACTGTGGAGAAAAAATTGTTGTGGTTATATATTATTTACATATCTCGAGTCAGTATTTGTGTTCGAAATTGGAATAAGAAAAATTGTGGTCCCAAAATCTCACGTCCCATTTTTAATCATCATTGACATGTGTAGACACGGTCTACTAAAAGGAAAATGTGAAAATAATATGTAAAAATATAAAATGGCAAATTACATTAATGTACTTTAACTTGATTCCAATTTTGAATAACATACTTTCAAAACTTTCATTTTGGTACCTAAAATATAAAGTTTTAAACATTTAATTATGCGGGTAACCGGTTGAATCATTAATCGTTTATCATGCTGATGTGGCGAGTGATGTGATATCCAACTCGATATTATTTGTTGACGTGGTTAATGACATGAATTTTTTTTAATCTAAAATTACTCTTCAACCAGTTATCAGGGTATTTAAAATGTTTAAAACTTTACATCTTAAGTATCAAAATGAAAGTTTTGAAAGTACGTTACCAAAAATATGAATCAATTTAACATATATTATTTTTTCATACAATTTGTCTTATATAAAATTATATAAAATCATATTAAATATTTAAAAATTAATAATATGTAAGAAAATTGAATTCACACTCTTTTTGGCGTAAATACTATAAATTTAATAATAACTCAAATATTTATTAAACCGAATATTAATTAGACCAGATAATGATTAAGATTTGATTTATAAAATTCATATTAATATAACGGATTACAAATGATCCGAATCCTCGAAGCAGGTTACCAAATACATTTATTCACTGTAACTTTCCAGTCTTCAAACAAAATTATTTTTCAATTATATAATAATAATAATAAAATAATAATAATAATAATAATAAAATAATAATAATAAAAGCCACCGCGATTAATTATTTTAAAATATTCGTACGAAATAATATATAAAAAACACCCCCATCATCCCATATCCTTCTTCCATGGATGACAGACAGATCTCAGTTAAACACTTCACATGAATCAACTTTGTGTGGTTGTTTTTTCTGTGAATTTTAACTGTCTATTGCTTTAATATCATATCTTCATATGTGAATATATATATATATGCATGAGGATTAGGTGAGGTTTGTTGGTTGAATCAACCAATCGATTCATGTCTCCACGAATCTTGATTCATAACTAATCTCCATTTCTTTAGTCATTGATGATAAGATCAGTAGTTATATGATTTCGTATTATATGTCTTAAATCCAGGTGTTGGCTTGCAAAATCGCTATATATTTGATCTGGGTTTCAAGAATCTGTAGCAAAAAAGCAGCAAGAAAAGGCGAAGAAATGAGAGGGTTTTGCTCGATTCTGGTGGTTCTAGCGATTCTTGGATCGGTTCACGGTGATTTGCAGATGGGGTTTTATGCGAGTTCGTGCCCGAAAGCCGAACAGATCGTGCAGGATTATGTGAACGAGCATATCCCGAATGCTCCGTCGCTTGCGGCTGCTCTTATCAGAATGCATTTCCATGATTGTTTCGTCCGGGTATGTGTCGACTTTTGTTTCGTGTTGAAAGGGTCGTTGTAGCAATGCATCCCTGAATCAACATCGAAAATGTGTTGCTCAATTGTGATATATATACCGGGGACGGATAAAATGTAAATCAAGCTATTTGTACGAATCGTAAAAACTGTCGATTTAATTATTTATTTTAGTAAAAGAATTTCATGAAATTGTTTATATATGATTAAATTATTTCAAATAACTCATTTTATGATAAAAATGTTCATATATTTTGTATTTATATAAAAATTGAATTGTTTTATGTATTTCTCATTTTGATCAAATTTATTTACTAAAATGAAGATGATAATGTCCATGATTATTTGAAAAAAAAAATCATCATATTAAATAATTCATGAAAACTTTTCACTAAAATAAACAATGAAATCGACGATTTTCATGATTTGTACAAATGACTTGGTTTGCAAAATATTCTTCCTATATATAGATAGAGAGGGGGGGGGGGTTGGTTTCACGTGAGACCAACATGTTTTTGTAAGACGCGTGAGACCATATTTTTATTCTTGAAACTTTATAGCAAAACATTGTAAAGGTAAAAAAAATCCTGAACCTTCACAACAAAAACTCTGTAAAATTTCAAATGTATAAGTGGTCTCACGTGTCTCACGAAAACAGAGAAAATAGACTGGTCTCACATTATCCAAATATATATGTACTGTATTATAGAGCATTTGACAAAAACTCTTAAAAACCAATTTTTATGCATTAATTATTGTTTATTGATGCATATTACTTAAAATTCAATATTACAAGTAAATTATGTGTATATACAACTTATTAAAATTCACGTTTAAATTCGTATAACTAACTGCAGATAAATATAATCAAATATTGGATAAGTATTTCATTTTGATTATAAAAAATAAAATATATTTAAAATAATTATTGAATTATAATAAAAATACGAATTATTATATTTATAAAAAACATATTATTATTAGATCTAAAATAATGTATATCGTTATTAAAGTTAAATTAAATTATACTAAAAGAATGAACTAAAAAACTTAATCTTATTTGTTCATAATTTCTTCTTAAGTGTTTATCACTTTGCTCATTAAAGCACTATAATTTGGTGAGATAAAAAATAAACTAAAAATTATATTTATAAAAAACATTATATTATTAGATCTAAAATAATGTATATCGTTATTAAAGTTAAATTAAATTATACTAAAAGAATGAACTAAAAAACTTATACAAAAAACGAGAATTTTTAATTATTAATTTGATACCGACCAAAGAGCCTTCGGTTTAACAGTATCGTAGCCTTTGGCCTCCAAGAACGTCAGAGGTTCAAACATCACCAAAGGTGAGGAGGGTGTATGAATTTATTTGTTGCATTTGCCGTATATAAATATTATATACTTCAGAAAGAATTTGATATCGATAGAAATTTTTATAGGTCTTCAAATTTATATTTTATTCAAATTAAAAACATTATCATTTTCTCAAAACTATACAAAAGTATATTATAAAACGAAACATTAAAATCGAGATATATCTCGATGCATTGTGCGGGTACGTTTCTAGCATATTGTAAAATATTTGACAAAGACTTTTAAAAGCCATTTTTTATACATAAAATACTGTTTACAGATGCATATTACTTAAAACTGAAGATTATAAGTAGATTGTGTATAAGTTCAACTTATTAAAACTTCATATATGAATTCGTGTAGCTAATTGCAGATAAATTTCTCATTTTAAATATAAAAAATATAAAATATAATTAGGATAATCATTGAGTTCTAACAAAATACTTAATTATTATCTTTATAAAAAACTATATTATTAAACAAAAACAAATTACTTTGTTAGTAAACTTAAATTAAATTATGATAAAAAATTGAATTAAAGGAATTACACAAAAAAAAAAGATAACTTTAATATGTAATTTGATATATAAATCGATTAATTTTTTTTCAAAATTTTATTATATTTTCAAATTTATATTTTATTCAAAAAATAAAAACATTATCGTTTTTTCAGTAACACATAAAATTGTATTATAACATTGATGAAGACATAATAAAACAAAATATTAAAATCGAGATATATATCACTGGATTGCACGAATATCATTCTAATATATATATATATATATATATATATATATATATATATGAGTGATCAAATGAAACCACTCCAATTTGTAAAAACTACTCTCATCTCTTGTAATCTTATGAAATTTTTTCATGAAATTGTTTAATCTTGTGAAATTGTTTCATATAATACATTTTTGATGAAGTTGTTTCATATATTGTTATGAAATTGTTACATATACTACTTAATTAAATTTTTATGAAACTGTTTCATGTATTTTTCTAAAATTAAAATAACGAAGATGATAATATCYATGATTAACATCCTCTACAATAAAAATGATTAATCAACCTCTTATAATTACAAAAATATGAACAAAATGAAAAATTATGTTTGATGGAATGAGATTTTTACGGTTTTTACAAATTGAGTGGTTTTCATTTGATCACTCCCATATATATATATATATATATATGTATATATATAAAATGTAGCAATCACGTACCGGACATTTTGGGAATGTAGTGCTTCAATTATCATGACGAAAAGGCAATTAACTTCGACTGTTTTCATTGTCTCCTTGAATAGGGTTTTCAAATTATCATAAGAAGTTAAGCTATGATTTGTCGTTAACTCTCGTGAAAACCACGTCGGGATATGCATAAGACGTTTAAAATGACAATTTTACCCTCATTGTTGTTTTAAGGACATAAAAGGTCTGAAAAGACGAATGTACCCTTAGACGTAAAATGTAGGGTTAAGAAAAATAGTCATAACCATGTTGTGACGTACGTAAAAGGTCCGAAAAGACCATTTTACCCTTGGATATGAAGTGACGATTTTACCCTCATTGTTGTTTTGAATAGGGTTGTGATGGATCAGTGCTTTTGAATTTCACTTCGAGCTCTGGGAATCAAACAGAGAGAGTAGCAGTTCCGAACCAAACCGTAAGAGGGTTTGGATTCATTGATACATTGAAGAGTTTGGTTGAAGCAGAATGCCCTGGTGTTGTTTCTTGTGCAGATATCATCGCTCTTGCTGCTCGAGACTCCATCGTTATCACGGTAAGAGTTCGAATTCTTTTACGACTCAATCGGACCCGCAAAATAAAATTACGAAAAGAATATGTTTTTCTGAACGTTTTTGTTGATTAAAGGGAGGTCCTTCTTGGAAAGTGCCCACCGGTCGAAGAGACGGGCTGATATCGAATGCATCGGAGGCGCTATCCCAAATCCCGGCTCCATTCGATAACATCACCATCCTCATACAAAAGTTTGCGAATAAAAGTCTTGATTTGAAGGATCTCGTCTTGCTTTCCGGTACGTTATTTGTTTATCATAAATCGGTCAGCGATAAATGAGAATAGGCAGACAATTTTAAGAATGTACAATCATTTTACTATTTAATTAACTAAATGACAAATTTACCCTTAAGAGTAGAGGAAGTACTGAATTTCTTCTTGTCATAATGAAGGGTGTAATTGGAAATATACACTTAAATTTTGAAATCAAACATTTATTTTGAGACACGTTAACACTTATTTTGGGACGTACACAATAGTTTTATTGCTGTTTTAGCTTATGTGCTACTGTGACGTTATTTTAGGTGCTCATACGATCGGAATCGCACATTGTCCATCGTTCTCAAACCGTCTATACAATTTCACGGGCGTGGGCGATCGAGACCCAGCACTCGATAGCGAATACGCCGACAATCTCCAATCGAGAAAATGCAGGACACCAAACGACACAACAACAAGAGTCGAGATGGATCCCGGGAGCCGTAAGACGTTCGACCTTAGCTACTACTCGCTGTTGCTAAAACGTAGGGGACTGTTCGAATCTGATTCCGAATTGACAAGAAATTCAAACACGTTGACGTACATCAACCAACTCCTTCAAGGATCGATCGAGAATTTCTTTAGCGAATTCGCAACGTCGATGGAGAAAATGGGCGCGGTCGAGGCGAAAACCGGAACGTCCGGTGAAATTCGAAGAAATTGCGCTGTCGTAAACAGTTAAGAGCGTAAAACTGTTATTCGTTTTGGTCATTTAATATTTAAATTGCATTCGTCATTTTTAAGGGGAAAAAATGGTGATTTATGATTTGTGTGTTTTCTTAAATAATAGAAATAATGCTTGTAAAATAGAAAAGAGAACGCCGAATAAAATGGAATAAAAATTGCATTGTTTCTGTTTTCTGGTTCATGTAAAATATGTATTCGGGTGTGTGATTTTGCGTTATATAAAATGGAGTTTTATATCAGTTAGACTTAAATATTTATTCTTAATATATATTAGGGTGATGTCTGATTGGTTTGAGCTTGAGCTCCAAAAGTCAAAGTACCTGGAGGTCTCAAGTTTAAATCAAAGGAGGAATAAAAATCCTCTTGTGGCCATGGAGATTCAAATGCGGTGACTCCGGACTATCTGCAAAGTAGGTGGTCGTCCTGAGATTAGTCGGTTTGCATAGCAGGTTGGATATTCAGATTAATCAAATAAACATAAAAAAAAAATACCAAGTATAAACATGTTTTTTGGAAGGGAAACAAATAATAGCAAATTAATAAAATCATTATTAATTACAATATAAATAAACTAATAAGATAATTTATGATACCTACGATAGACATAGGGTTGAGTTTCGGTGAAAAGTGTAGTTACGGTAAGAAACATAAGAAGGAAGATAGACCATTGGATCAATTTTAATTGAAGATCGATACTACTGAGATACACCGAGATGCACCGGATCAATTCTCGTAAGGAGCGCAATTCATGGGTGGGTGTAAGATTAAAAATGATCAAGTGTTTAAATCTCTTCATACGCTTCCCGCCTTTATTAAAAAATTAATTTTATATTTTTTCTTCTTTAAATGAAAATTTTAAATAATTCAAAATTTGTTTTTATTATAAATAATTTAATAGGTTCCATATATTCTTACAGTGATGTTTTAATTCGAAAGGTGTAACGTTACGATAAGATAATTGCGTAAAACTAGTGAAAGGTCCCTTGACAAAACTAGCCGAAAATCACACCGTCACCCCAATCCAACTACGACCGATATCTTTCTTTAATCCTTTATCACGCATCGATTCCCTTAAATCTCCGATTTCATCCCATAGACCACATTTGGCATACATATTCGACAGTAAAACATAAACCCCCGTATTCATAGGATCCAATTCAAGCGCCCTTCGAGCCGCAAACTTACCCAAATCAACATGCCCTTGATCACAACACGCGCTCAGCAACGCTCCCCAGACCGAAATGCCTGCACTCGCTTTATTCGGCATTTTGTCGACCACCTTCCATGCGTTTTCTAACTCGCCTGCCCTACAAAACAAATCCACGAGGCACCCATAATGCTCAGGACTCGGGTTTAGTCCAAAATCACGAGCCATGGACTCAAAGTACTCGGTGCCAAGATCAACCTGGCCCGTGTGGCCACAAGCCGAGATGACGGAAACGAATGCCACCCCATCTGGTCTAACTTTCTTTGTTAACATCTTTTTAAACAATCGAATTACGTCTTTGTGATGCCCGTTTCGACCATAGACGCCAAGCATCGATGTCCACAAAACTACATCAGCAAAGGCGGCCATACTAAATACTTGCCGAGCTTTGGTTACCAGCCCGCATTTTCCATACAGATCGATCAACGAACTTAAGAGAAACACATCAGTTCCTGCATCGCAAATGGTTCTTATCACTTTTGCGTGTACTTGACTACCCAATTCAATTGCATACAGCCCAGCACAAATACTCAAAGCTACCGAAAATGTCCAATTATCGTAACACAAATTGAAGCCGGGCATGATTCGAAACAATTCAAGACCATTCGCCCACATCTTGGCATCGGAATAAGCCGATAGAAGTGCATTTGCGCAAACCGTGTTCTTCAGAGGAATTTCATCGAACACCTTTGCTGCATCAACAACTGCCACTGATTTCGAGTAAAAATCAACCAAAGCACTGCCGATAAACACACTAGAACCCCAACCAGATTTCACCACATGGGTATGAATCTGTTTCCCGAACCCAACACTTGGAATCAAACAACAAGCTGTCAACGAGCTACACAAAGCGTAAGTATCTATTGGAACGCCATTAACATTCATCAAAGATAAAGTTTTTAAAGCTACCAAAGGATTCCCATTTTTAACAAAACCAGAAAGAAGTGAATTAAAGGGCACTGGGTGCGTGAGAATGGAGCAATTGAAGAATTTGGTTAGGGTTTGAATGTTGTTTTCTTGAGAACATTTCGTGTATGCGTATACGAGATCAGTTTGAAGGGTGTAAGACATGAAGATTACGCCTGTTCTAAGTAAGTGAGCATTAATTTGCTTGATAGATCTAAGATTGTTTGTTTGTGAAAACCTGGCCAAGAGATTACTGAATGATTCATGGGATTGCAACATCAAGAGAAAAGGAAGTAAGCATAAAAAAATGGCGCAGGTCAAAAAAGGGTCGAAAAACAACTGGGCGTGTTTGAACATCCGATGCCAGAGTCTTTGTTTTAATTTTAGGATTATTAATGAAAATAATTTATTGACTTATTACAGTGTGATACTGGTAATAAGCACTTTGAGTGTTTGGATAAACAACTTATACCGGTGTCAAACCGATAATAATTTTTTTTTTTTAAAGTTAAATCATTCTAGCTTATAATTAGTTGATAAACACTTTTTTTAGAAAAACATAAGTTGTTTCAAATAAGTAATCTAAAACACCCCCTTAGTGTTGGTTTATCAAATGCTTTTAGTGGATAAGTGTTTATCTTTCTTTTAATTAGTTGTTTGAGTCAGCATATTAGCATTTTGATTAACTTTATTAAGACCTGAATATAACAGTTAAAAAAATTCACAATGAGTCTCGAACTGGCAAACCAATGAGGAGGAGGCTCAAGATCAGACATCGGTTATATCAAAAAAGTTCACAATGAGTTAGAATGAAATGGAGCTTATTCAAGTCGAGGTAGAATGACTCGGACTTAAATAACTTGAGCTCATTGAATACATATGTGCGAAATTATGTGGTTTAAAGTTTCCAAAAAAATTTATGTTCTTTTCCCAACTCAAAATCTAATGATGAGATCAACAAACGAAAATGCTAAACGTTGTTTAAAAGAAACCGAGGTTTTGTAAGATCTCGGAAATGAGTTTTGACCTAATCTTATGTGACACTTGGATTACGCTGTATTTGAATATACAAGTTTTAATACATACGATACAAGTCATTACGGCATTATGGTATTTGAAAATAAAATTTGCATGAATTTCTTCTTATGTATATGGTTTCCTTCTCACTCCGTCTTTTCAAGAGAAAACAAAAATGTGCAAGCATAAAAAAAGACGAGAAAGAGGTGATGGAAGTGGCCAACGCGTCATAGGTAGTGGTTTCAGCCCGTCACACCACTATCGGATCTGTGGTTTCTTGTGTGCTTTGTATATCGAAAGTCTTTCTTTATTTTATGAATTGATAACGCCTATTTTGAGTTAAAAAGTGATATATATATATATATATATATATATATATATATATATATGGAGGTTCAAACGAGAACCCCTGTGATTTACGAGAATGCGAGAACAACCCAATAACCTCAAACTTTTTTAATTAATAAATTAACTTTTATTA